CAACAAAGCAAGCTGAAATCTGTTGAAGGAAGAACCGATGGTGAATTGAGAAAAGCCACCATAGAGATCACCAAAAAGGTTAATGAATTCAATGCTCGGTCTCCCGAAATTCTGCAGGAAAAGAAAAAGGTAAAACTAGTTGAATCAGAAGGGACGAATGAAATTCAGAAAAAATTGGTTATAGAGGGAGAATCGAAACCTGAAGATGCAAATACCATTGATACCTCAAGCAAGAGAGAGATGGTGAAACTGAACACTCCCATGAGCTATGCTGACGCTCTAAAACGAGCCCCTCCGATGAAACATTGGCTAAACCGCAATGAACTAAAGGTACCAAAACTCAAATCCCTAAATTCATCTATGGGATTCAATCGAAGAAATCAAGAGGGAGTGTTGAGATTGATCTCTCCAATTGAACCTGCAAAAGAGAAAAGAAGAAGCCAAGAGAAGATGATGGCGAAGTAAGAAGAAGAAGAAGAAGAAGAAGAAGAAGAAGAAGAAATTGGTGTCGTGAAAAGAGTGGTCAACGACACAACAAGAAGAAAGACACAAGTCAACAAGAAGAAAGAGTTGGGCTTTGTGTGTTTTGTAGTTATGTTAGTATTGGGCTATTAGTTAAATTAGGCCAAAGAAGAAAGAGTGTTGTAGTTAGTCTAAAGCAAGACTATAGTAGTTGTTGTAGTTGTTAAGATTGCTTGTGTAAGTAAACTTTAGGCAATGATGTCTAGAAGTAAGTCTAGGTCCAAGTAGAAGTATGGGTGCAAGTATGTGTGGTAAGTGGAAACGAACCACTATATGTATGTGTTGTTTGTGTTGTGTAAGATCATCCTTCTGAAAAAAAAAAAAAAAACATATGTTAAGAAAATCAAAAAGATAAAGAGTGAAGAGAAACTTACAAATTCAGAAAATGCAACACAGATCGAGGACGGCGTTATGGGCAATGGATATAGGGTGACAATCCGTATGAAAACAAGCCAAAAATCGTTCAAATCCGTGAAGAATTGAAAAAGATGTGATGAATTGAAGTTCAAAAGCTTGTAAAGGTTTTCAATGGAGAAGTGAAAAAGAATGAGAAAAAAAAGGAAAGTGTTTTTTCGTTTTAAATCGCGAGAGAGAGGAAGAGCAAATCGAATCCCGGTTCGATTCAAGTGGATTAAACCGGTTTTTTTTTACCGGGATTCATGTGGTTTCAGGTAGGGGTGGTGGGCAAAATATACAGAACCGAAAAATCAAATGGAACCCGATCTGAAATTATCTGAACCGAACCGAATCCGATTTTATAAAATACACAAATGGGTATCATTTTCCTAAAACCGAAGATTGGAGATGTACAATAAAATCTTATACATAAGTTTACTTACAATTTTATGGAATCTATAAAATTGTGTCATAAATTTTTTTAAGTAAGTTAGTTTTGTTGAAAGAACTTATTGAGTATAATTATGATAACATTGAAAATGTGATTATGAAACATTGTTGATCCTCTGCGGAAAATTTTCCCATATTTTGATACCTTGAAAATAAATATTCAGACTTCTAAAATAGTTAGAATTAGATTTTCTTTTATAATTTTTTATAAAATTTTTAAATTTCAATAGTGGTAAATAATTATATAAATGGTTGGATAACTCCGTATTTTTTGTTGACAAAAAAAAAAACTCCATATTTTGTTTTATTTGTCTTTCATTAGGATAATGTATGGATAACCCCATATTTATGTTTCGGTACAACTAAGTTTTTATAAAAGAGTTGGGCAACATAACCAAACAAAATTGGGCGACAAAACAAAAACGCCAATGCCACAGGCCACACATGAACTGACGTTTTTGCCCTTCTCTGCGCGAACGTCGTCATCCACGCGCGCGATGTCAACGCGCCTGCTGGAGTATTACAAAATAAATCGAAAATCAAAAATTTCTCGCAGTTATCGCTGGAGTATCTTTTATCTTATAAAGCACAAGTCACTCTACCAATAAAAATTTGACACATCAGCAAAAACAATTTATTTTGACAATAATTACAAAAGAAAAAAGTGATCATCGGAAAAAACAAAACAGAATTGAACACATGGCATATGCTTCACATTTAATTAAATCAATTAAAAAAAAGAGATAACAAGAGATAACTTCCGTATTTGAAGTGTTCGTAGACAACATTCTCCTTGTAGTGGACAAACAAGAGATAACTTCCAAAAGACATAAAATAGGTTCCAATAGACAACATTATCATGAAGTGGACAACATTTCAGAAGTTCCAATAGACATAAAATAGGTTCCAATAGACAACAAAACAATTAAGTAGACAACATTTCAGAAGTTCCAATAGAACTAAAATAGGTTCCAATAGACAACAAAACTATTAAGTGGACAACATTTCAGAAGTTCCAATAGACATAAAATAGGTTCTAATAGACAACAAGACCATTAATTGGACAACATTACGAAAGTACTCGATATTTCTTGTGTTCTAAAATATGAACACTAAAAAATGTTTGGCAAATCGAACACTAAGAAAAACCCGATCGAGTTCTATATTCCTAAAAAACCAAGTTCGAAAAAAAACCCGAAATATTTTGGATATCTGAAAATTGTTGGCTTGTAAATATCTACTAAAATAGCTACAATATTTCGATACTCAAATTTACAATCATAAATCTGAATATGTTATTTATTTTTGAGTAACTCGAGTATTTTCAGATATATGTATATGAAAAATAACTAATATTTTAGTATTTTTCCATATATTTTGGGTGATTTTAGGTACTTTGGGATAAAAAGTAATTCATATTTTAGTATTTTTCGTTTATTTTGGATATTTTTTAATAATTCGAATAGATTTAAGTATATATGGCTAAAAAGAATCGAACTCGATCCGAACCAATGAGTATGACAATCCGAATTTTTACAAAACCCAACAATATTTCGGATTTAACCGAGTTAAATAGTTGTTACTAACCCCGAACCGAACCCGAGCAAACCCGAACCGATACCGAACCGAAATTTTAAAATATCCGAATGGGATTAGAATTTCGGTATTTCAAAACCCGAACCCGAACCGATACCGAACCGAACCCGATTGGGGGCCCGAACGCCCAGGCCTACGGATCTGTGATAATAAAACGGTAAAAAAATTTATTAGTAGAAAGAAAGCGATAAATAAATAAGGATCATTTACATAGTCCTGTGATATAGTCGACTACATGCTTCAACTACACTATGATATAGTCGACTATATGCCTCAACTACATTGCTTGGTCAATACTCACCCTCAAGCTTAGACTTTGGAACCACCCAAAAGGCTAAGCTTGGAGAGCTCACTAGAGATCATTTACTAGTCCTGTGATATAGTCGACTACATGCTTCAACTACACTATGATATAGTCGACTATATGCCTCAACTACATTGCTTGGTCAATACTCACCCTCAAGCTTAGACTTTGGAACCACCCAAAAGGCTAAGCTTGGAGAGCTCACTAGCACCACCTCATTAAAAACCTCAATATGGAAAACCACTTGGGACAAAAACCACATTGAGGGAAAAAGAGTGTGTTGGTTTACCTTAAGCCCAAATGTTCACCTTACTTTTGATTATCTCACTGCTATTTTGTCTAATTATCATTGTTTATAGAGCGAGAAAAATCTCTGTGGACAAAGAGATATGAGTAAAAATTATCAAACTAAATCGATTTTACTTTATTTGATTTTACTGTAAAAATGAGAACTGACCCGAACCCGTAAAAACCGACCCGAACCTGAAAAAACCTAACCCGAACCCGACCCGAAAATTTAAAATACACGAATGTGCTCTTCATTGTTATTTATACACAGAACTCTAGCTCAACAAAAAATAAAAAATTTAATCAATATTTTAATAATTTAAAATTTAAGTTAATTAAAAATACATTAAAAAGTTTTAAAAAAATTTAGCGATAGAATGAAAAGAATACAATTTATAGAAACATATTAAATATTTTATTTTGAAAACAAAGATTTATGTAAGGAACTTATCATACCACGAATCAATGTTTTTATAACCAATAAAAACAAAGTTTTAAATATTTTCGGATATTTCGGAACTAGAGATCGAGAACCTGTGCCAAGCTTAGGTTTTTAATGAGGTTATTCATACAAGTGTCAAGTTTATACACAATTGGGCATTGTGGTATAAACTTGAGGGGGAGTGTTAATCAAGAAGACAGTTAACACTAACTATGTCCTAGTTAAGGGTTAAATGTAGGTTACTTGGGTTACTCGGGTTACAGGTTACTTGGGTTACTCGGGTTACAGGTTACTTGGATTACTCGGGTTACAGGTTACTTGGGTTACTCGGGTTACAAGGCTAAGAGAGGGTATGATTGTCTTTGTACACACCCCCTTAGACCTAGAGTTTGTTCTCTATAAATACTAAAGTGTGCCTCCATTTGTAACTCTAACTCTTATCAATCTAATACATCTTCTTTCTCTCATCATGGTTCTTCCTATTCTTCCAACTTAATCTTCAAATATTATCAAGGCAGTCTCTGTTGTAGACATCGGAGACAATCATTGAATAACAGTGGATTTGGTATGATATTTACAAATTGTTGATTGAATAACAAGAGATTGTGAATTATTTTAAGTGATTTTATATAAATTCCAACTTCAATAACATAGGATTTGAGAACAAATTTAAAAATCAACAGTTGAATAACAGGGGATTTTAATAAAAAAACCAAAATCATCTAAAATTCTTCATCCAATACACCCCCCTAAAGTTATACACTTGCAAAGATGCATAACTACCTATTTTGTGATAGAGTATCCCAAAAACTATCCTAAGGTTAGAAAACGAGCACAGACCGTTGATATGCACTCCTAAAGCAGAGACAAAAACACAAAAAAAAAAAAAGAGAAGTTAATGTACATTGTTCATAAGATACAAGAAAATAATAAAATTCAACCTTAAAGAGAGAAAAATAAAGAACTCGTAGAAAGTGAGAAAACGAAGTAATACAGTCACTTTCAGGTTCTCCGAGTCACTTTCTTGCGAGTCACTTTCTTGACAGTCACGCCAGGTGTTAGAAGGACAAAATCTTGAAATAATACATTTGGCTTCTTTATCCTTTTTCCTCTTCCTTTACTTGCTTGATCACTCTGAGTGACATTCGTAACCTGATTCTCTTCAAGTCTTTCAACCTGATTCTCCACAATCAAATCAGAGTAAAATTAGAGGTAAACAATTAAATAAGGCAATGAGCGATAACCAAACTGTTCGGATTTGAGAGTATCCCTCACCTCCGGCAGCTCCCGCACCACAGTTTCGTAGTCCTCTGTTGCTTGAACACTCCGAGGAGGGACAGTCGTAACTTGAACACTCCGAGGAGGGACAGTCGTAACTTGAACACTCCGAGGAGGGACAGTCGTCACCTGAGTGGAGGGAGTATCTGTAGTTTCGTAGTCCTCAAACTGTTCGGATTTGAGAGACCACATCAAACCAAGGGGAGTTCAAAGTTCATTTGTGCTAAAAAAAGAGAATAAACGTCATCACCTGAGTGGAGGGAGTATCTGTCACCTCCGGTCGCTCCGGCTCCATAGTTTCGTAGTCCTCTGTTGCTTGAACACTCAGAGGAGGGACACTCGTAACCTGATTCTCTTCAAGTCTTTCAACCTGATTCTCCACAATCAAATCAGAGTAAAATTAGAGGCAATGAGCGGATAACCAAACTGTTCGGATTTGAGAGAGCACATAATGCACATCAAACCAAGGGGAGTTCAAAGTTCATTTGTGCTAAAAAAAAGAGAATAAACGTCACCTGAGTGGAGGGAGTATCTCTCGCCTCCGGCAGCTCCCACTCCATTTCGCTGCTATGTGCCTCTTCATACTCTTCGACCAAATAAGGCCTCTCAGGTTCAATTTGAAAAGAATGACAAGTAGAATATCCACCACTTGCAACTCTTCCTCCCTAATAAAACTTTGTTATTACGGAGACAAAGACAATAATACGAAGTACACAAAGACAACCAAAAAAATCAACTTAAATAATCAACTCACCTCAGGAACACTCGTCACCCCATCTCGAGCAATTTCACAGATAAAATTTTCATATCGCTTAGTCCACTGCTCAGTCACGAATTTGTAGTAAGGTCTGACAGATTTCCAATTTTTGTTTTTATGTTTGCTCAGTTTCAATTTCGTCCCTTTCTTAATCTTTGGCCACAATGTTTAACTTTATATGTAAGCAAATTAAAAATGTGAAAAGCTAGGGTTCTAAAGATCCCAATTTCTGCTGAGCTTCATAAGTGTTGATCCCGATGTCTTCATCAGCTTCTTCAGGTCAGTAATCGAGAATGTAAGGTGTGGGTTTGATTTTATGTAGATTTTGATAGATACTTAATTTCTTGCGGATTGGTGAAGGTGTGAGCGATAGGTTCTCTGTGAGAGGAAGAGGGATCCCAAGACAATGTAAATGTGGTCAATTCTCTGTGATTAAGACTTCAAACACTTTGAAAAATCCGGGGAGACTCTTTCATTGTTGTCCAAACGGATCAGAGGAGGTAATGTTTTCTTAAGTTATAGAATCTTAAGATACACAAAGCTTCTCTTGATTTGAATTTGCGTTTAGCTTTCGATCTTGCTTCGAGACATTGGTGAGGTAATGTTTTCTTAAGTTATAGAATCTTAAGGTACACAAAGCTTCTCTTGATTTGAATTTGCGTTTAGCTTTCGATCTTGCTTCGAGACATTGGTTTATCTCTCACCTTTCGTAATTTGTATACGTTGATCTTAGTTTCACATTCTCTAGCTGCTTAGGTTTTGTTGTACGTTGTAAAAATGTGATCTTTTTGGTTATGATATGCTCTCAAGTTGTATGAACATATGCAAATTGTCCTCATGAGTGTATTTTTGTTGCAGAATAAGCATCATTTGTTTAAGTGGACCGACATATCCATGGTCGAAGAGATGGAAATGGTTGAAAGTGTGGTTGAGAAGATAGAAGGAGATGTGGGAAGCTTAGAAAAAGGATTACATGAGCTTGAAGCTATCAAAGAAAGGGCACAAAGATGTGAGAAAGAGATTGTATATCTCAAAGATGTCGTCAGTTTGTGTGAGAAAGAGGTACAAGAGTTACGAAGCTTCAAAAATATGGTTGTGTGTGGTGGTTTGGTCATGGCTATAGTGTACTATGTCTTCTTTGCATAAGAATTCTAGTTTGTGTAATGTTGTAATGTAATATTATTTATGAGACTTTAAGCAACTCCAACTTGAACTTGTAATATTTATGAGATTGTCTTGTACTATTTTCATCAATTGAATTTGGTTTTTAAATGGATCTGTAGATGTCATTGGTTAGGACATTTTAACGAACACTTGGTGTGCATGAATCTTATTACTAAGTTCGACCAAACACTTAGCAAAAATCTTAGAAATTTCACAATTAGTACCAAAATAGTCGCAATATTGGTCGGCCAATAGTTGCAATATTAGTCGCAAAATAGTCGCTAAATGAACACTGGTTACAAAATGGTGGCACGTTTGCGACTGTTTTGTGACTGTTATCTATTATATTGATCCAAAAGGCTGATATATATCACTCACAAACACTCATATTAGTGTTATAGAGGACATATATTATTTTAAGGTTGAAAAACTTTGCAAAACTCAAGTAATGTAGATATTTTACTAAATTGCAAAACATCAATAAAAGTGTTATAGGTTCAACAAAAGAGCCAACTTTTACCAACTAGTTTGCAACGAACGAGTAACTAAAGTGCGACCATATTTTCAGACCAAATTTTGAGTCGCAAATCAGTCGCACATGTGCAATCGGATGCGACGTATTTGCGACTGAAACAAATTAGTCTGCAATCGGACGCACAACCGTCGTTAATGAACGACTAATTACCGACTACTTGTTTTAGTCGCCGAATAGCGACTAAGTTCCAACTGTATTTGAATTCGTCGGTAAAAAGTCGTACATTAGTCACAAAATAGTCACACAATTTTGCGACTAAAAGTTTGGTCGCAAAGTTTAGTTGCAAAACGCAGGTTTTCTTGTAGTGTCTCGCAATTGATAAATGAAAACTAGTTTACCTCTGAACAACATATTGTGAGACGCTTGACAGATGTGATTGATCCAATAACACTCTTGGGATTAATTGATTCATTATCGACATATGCTTCCCTCAGCATAGGCATATTCTTAATCAAAGAGTAGTGTCCCTCGTTATTCCAATCCACAAGTTTCAAATACTTTAAAGAAGGAGTATCTATCTCATACCTATTTAAATTCCAATTACCTTGTAAAAAGAGTGATAAACTCTGCAAAGAGGGGACAATAATAGTGAACTCTCTTAAAGTTCTAATGTAAGAAAAATCCACCGAGAGATCTCCGAGAACAGGACAATTAGATAGAAGCTGTTGAAGACATTTTCCATTTGTGGAAGACGACTCAGTTTCAAGTAGAAAAGTTTTCAGAGAGGGAAGATAAACCCTAGAGGGAAGATCCTTGAGAGTTATGAATTTGAGTTTCAAGGTCACCAGCGATTTGCAGGTAAACAAGCTAAATAGGTTTTCAGTCCTGGAACAATAATATTCAATATCCAGCTCACGTACATGGCGAGAAACTGCGATATCAATCAACCGTTTGATATCTTTAGGTTTAGTATATGAGGACCAAGCTGTGTCGAGACGCAATGTTTCAATGACTAGAGCTTTATGTAACGGCAGCTTCTTATTGATAAATTCCCAAAATTCAGGCATTGGGTATTTTAGAGGTGTGAACTCGAGATTAGGCAACCACATCCAAAGAAACTCCCATCGTTTAGACAAAACGCAAGTGGATACAGCAACTTCTGTTGGAAGAAACGATAATATCTTCACGAGCAAGTCATCATGCAATCCATTGATGTCCATATCTTTCAAATTCAAGTTACTGTTACTGAAAAAGAAAACAGAGAAACACAAGACAAAACCCTTTAAAAAGCTGAGATTTTGTCTTAAGCCAAGAAAACGAATTAGTAATTAGAGAAAACACAGCTACAATCATAGGAACGAGACAAAACCCTAGAAAAGAAAACATGTGGATTCCAGTGTACGTAACTAACGTAAGCTATCGGAAATCGGAAACGCCCAAAGTTATCTAAAATCGGAATCGCAGAGACAAACTGTCAAATTGGAATGACGCCTACCATCAAACCGTTCGGCTTCCGTATAAACCCTAATGAATGATGATCAAAACCTCTAGTATCCCTGGTAGTGGGCCTGGTTTCATATCCAGCATTTTTTAAAAGTTGCGTAGGAATGTGATTGTTTTTTTTTTTTTTAGTTTTTAGCATTGTTCTAAAAAGTGGTCTAGGCAGTCGTCTAGAGCTCGACTAGGCGCTAAGCTCTTATGTGACGCTTAGATAACCGTCTTGACCGCCTGAAATTACATAGATCTTGTTTAATGTATTTTTTCAATTTCAATTAAGTTTTATTTCTCTATATATAGTTATAAATATCCATATAATGTTTAATATAAATATAAATAAATATTTTATCTAGTTTTTGTTTATAATTTCATGTTTTGTTAGTTTTATATAGATATTTTATATAATTTTGATATATAATAATATATTTATAATGTTTTACGTTATAAACGTCTAAGCCGCCTACAAATCGCCTAGGCTCCGATTAGGCGCTAGGCGCTTAGGTTTTTAGTCAGGTTCACCGCCCGCTTAGTGCCTAGCGCTTTCTTGAACAATGGTTTTTAGTCATAAAACTTCTCGACTAAAGATGAATCCTAAAAAAATCCCTAATTATATATTTAGTGAAGAAAAATCTTTCAACTTAGAATCAGTTAATGCAAATTTCCTTCGTCTACAGTGTCGTGAAAATTAGATGGATTATAGTTAAATTTAAATGCAATATTTTTCAGAAATTAAAAAACGAGATATATACACTTAAAATACACGAATTGTAAACAAGAACAACAAAATAATATTCTTATACCCGATTATTAATCCCCAAATTCACCTAAGCTCTAAAATTTTTAAAGTTAAAAACCTAAATTTACGAACTCTAATTTATCAAAGTGAGATTCTCTGAAGTTTGTGTGGTCTCGTAGTCGATTATGTGAGATTCTGAAAAATGATGTGTTTTAATTTAAGTTTAATCCGTCAAATTTTTACGACATTGTAGGGGGAAGAGGATTTGCATTAACATATATTAAGTTGAGGAGTTTTTCCACTAAATACAGTCAAACCTCTAAAAATTAATAAAGTCGGGACCGAGAAATTCTATTAATTTACAGAGGTATTAATTTATTGACAAATTAATAGTTACTAATTTAGAAAGAGATTTTACTAATTTTTTAATTTAAAAAAAAAACATTATATATGAAAAGAAAATTTTTTCTTTATAATCAATATATTTCTAAAACAAATTACAAGTAGAAATATAATTATTAAATTTAGATAATAACACTAACTTTTTTTGATGTAGTAAAATATTTAGAATTGAAGTCTACCAATACTTAATACAAATTTAAGAAAAACAAACAATATTAGAGTCATATTTCACTAAATATTTTACATATAATATATGTAAATGTTGATAAGTATATACAATTATTAATTTATGATATTGATGGAACCATATGTTTATATAGGATTTTTAAAAAAAGTTATTATCTTATTGATTTATCGATTTGTGTCATTTTTTACACTTGTCTCAACTCAGGACCAGAAGAATTTATTAATTTATAGAGGTTATAAATTTATCGAGTATTAATTTATAGAGGTTTTATTGTATATAATTGAGGGGTTTTTATACAATTCATCTTTAGTTGAGGGGTTTTATTACTAAAAACTATTTTTCTATTTAAGTTTTGATTATTATTATTTTCGTCGGAATGATTCATATTCTCCTTTCTTCCTCTTTTTTGACCACTTTTTCTTAGCCATTATCAAGAGAAATCAACAATTTTTCACAATCTGGATCTCTGGTTTTTCCTAGTTTCACCAATTAAAGATGGAGAAATCGTAACTTTTATTTTGAATTTAAGAGAATCGAAACTGATAAACGGTTTTGAGGAGAAATCGACGAGAAACAGTTTCTAAGTGTTCAATTTCGGGTTAGATCCGAATATATATGGGTTGGGGAAAATAAATCGGGTTAGATCCAGGTTTTCTGTTATATTTGGATTTTGGCTGGGTAAGAATGTAATATCCTCATTTTTGGAGTTATTAGCTTTCCCTTTGAGAAATAGGGACATTCGTTACGATTTCTCCCTTCAAGTTGTGAAATCATCTTGAAGAATTCCATAAGAGAATGTCACAATTGCTACACAATTCTTTACGAGCACATGATTATGACTATGTTATTCACTGTTGAAAGATTATATTAAAATTTGGACACACTCGAAGAAGAACAGATATAACTAACGGAATGAGACAAGGACAGAGCCAAGTGTTTGACTCGAGACAACAATCTGCTCAGATAAAAATGTTTCAGAGAATGGCTTTTGGAAGTCAAGAGAATATAGTTTTTTTTTTTTTTTTTTTCAAGAATATAGTTCTGACTTCTTTGATCGCTCACAGTCACATAGTAGTAGCTGGGGAAGTCGTGACCAGTCCATATTCGTACCTTAGTAGTTTTTATTGTTTTTGCTTTCTTCTTTTCCCTTAAACATGTCTTCGATCTTGTATATTCTTTTGCGTGATATAAAATTTTTATTAAATTTGAAAGGTCTAAACATAAATTTATAATTTTAAGAGGGTCAAAACAGAAAAAATAATAAAAATATTATAAGACTTAAGGGAATCTAAAACAATTTCAGAATTTTAGGGGGGTCAGCTGACCCCCTTATGGAAATTAGAGCTTCTTTATACAAAAGAAAACATCTAATCCTTCAAGTCTCTCAATATGATCTAAGTCCTCAGCGAATATGAGTTCGCATGTGCTTGAAGCTCGGGGAGAAAGTCTCAGCTCCTTGATCATTTGAAGTTTTGGAACAACAGTATCCCATGTATCAGCCAAGAATGTTGCTTTCTTTAAGTGACGAGCGTTTTTCAAGATGTAAACCGCGATATCTCTGTCTTGTGGTGTCCCAAAGTATGGTGAGCAGTTGAAAATATGTAGACTCGACAACAAGCATTCAGGAATAGAACTCAGTTGATTCGAGCAAACAATACCATTAGGCTCATCACCCAAATGATCCTAAGGCCAAGCAGAATAATTAGATTGAAACCATATTGGACATCAGATAAAACAAAATAATTTATCAACGAAAAACTTACTTTCATTGCAGAGATGTCTAATACTCGTAAGTTAGGAGAACCTTTGAGCAATTGGCCAAGGAGATTCAATGAATTGTTTCTGCACACACATAGGTTTAGTTGTTCAAGCTCCTTGAAAACACAACCATCACCATACGAACCCTGCCCAAAATATTTAAATTATTAACACTTGTAAGACTTGAATGCGATATTGAAAACTAATTAGTGATTACCTCTGAAGAACATATCGTAAGACGCTTAACAGATGTGAATATGTGATTGATCCAATAATAAGATTCTTGAGATTAGAGTATCCAACATCGACATATGCTTCCCTAAGCTTAGGCATATTCTTAATAAAAGAGTAGTGTTCCCTATTATTCCAGTCCACAAGTTTCAAATACTTTAAAGAAGGAGTATCTATCTCGTACCTATTTATATTCCCATTCATATGTAACAAGAGTGATAAAATCTGCAAAGACGGGATGCTTATAGTGAACTCTCTTATATTGTCATTATAAGGAAATTGCACTGATAGATCTTCAAGAACAGGACAACCAGATAGAAGCTGTTGCAGAGATTTTCCATCTTCGAAAAATAACTGAGTTTGAAGTTGCAAATTTTTCAGAGAGGGAAGACAAACCCTAGTGGGAACATCCTTGAGAGTCGCGGGGTTGAGTTTCAAGGTCACTAGTGATTTGCAGGTAAACAAGCTACTTGGAAATAGGTTTTCATTTTCTGAATAATAATCAAGTTCCAGCTCACGTACATGGCGAGAAACCGCGATTTCAGGTTTAATATGTGGATTCCAAGCTGGGTGGAGACGCAATGTTTTCAATGACTGGAGCTCTATGTAATGGCAGCTTCTTGTTGATAAAATCCCCAAGAAGTCCAGGCCTTGGGTCCCAGTCACATTCGAACTCGAGATTAGGCAACCACAGCCAGAGAAACTCCGATCGTTTAGACAGAACGCAAGTGGATACAGCAACTTTTGTTGGAAGAAACGATAATATCTTCACAAGCAAGTCATCAGGCAATCCATTGATGTCCATATCTTACGAATTCAAGTGACTGTTACCGACAAAGAAAATAGAGAAACACAAGAAAACAATACCATAAGACTCAAAAGGAACACAGCGACACACATAGGAACGAGACAAAACCCTAGAAAATAAAACCTACCTGTGGATTAAAATATATCGAAATCGGAAATCGCATAGACAAATTGGAATGACATATAAACCTCTACTGGGGCCTGGCATTTTTTAAGACTTGCGTAGGAATGTGATTGTTTTGTCCTTTTTTTCCAGTGTTTTTAAACCCGACCCAGATAGTGAACCGGATTACTTTCTGGGTCACTGGGTCACTGGGTTAACCGAGTTCGACCACGGGTCAATTAATTAAAATATATTTAATATTTAAAGAGATTATATAGTTTTTATAAATATAAAAATAAAATATTCAAAATATATTTACAAAATATAAAGTCTAACAATAATAATAAACTAATTCAAATTAAATTTTTAAATCCACGTAAAAGTCTAAAACCGTAATAAATATTAAAATAGTAGGAGATCGCCAATGACGGAAATAAACTAATATACCATCGCGAATTCAAAACAACTAATCTCGATTATTCCATCCATTCTTCTTAGACGGTACAATGAAGTTTCATCAAAATCTAAAACATCAAATGAGTTTAAGAATTAAAAAAAAAATCTAAAAATAACTAAATAGAGTCTAAAACTCTATATTTTTTTCCAAAATCAAATGATATTTTTAAAACCCATACCCAGCCGGTTCAACCGGTTCACTGGGTCGCGGGTTAATATTAGGTTTTTGTGGGTTTTTGCAGTTTTGAAATTGGCGGATATTAGCACTAAACCCAAACCGGAAAAGTGTATGGGTCGTGGGTTAACCGGTCGGACCGGGCGGTTCGGGTCGGGCGTAAAAACACTGTTTTTTTCTTATAATTTTTTATTTTTTAAATCAACGTTTTCTGTTTTGTCCTTTTGTTTTCTTACAAATTATAGTGAACTCTTTTAAGAGATAAACTCTGCAAAGACGAGACAATTATAGTGAACTCTCTTACATTGTCAGACTAATATTTTCGTTAATAGCCAACAATCTGTGAAGTGGATTCATACAGTGGGAGATGCTTGGAAACGTCGTAACTCTGGTGATATAAGATTATGTTTGCTTGTGGTCATCAACGGACAACGGTATACATAAGACCAAATCCTGTGTTGCAAAGAGTTAGAAAGGGTTTTCGACACTTAATTATATGGTAAACTAGAATTCTTTTTTCTTAAAAAAAAACACAAATAAATTAGAATCCTACGAGAAAAATATGATTCAAGTCTCAACATGATCCAAGTCCTCAGGGAATACGAGTTGGCATGTGCTTGAAGCTCGGGGACAAAGTGTCAACTCCTTGATCATCTGAACTTTTGTAACAAAATTGTCCCTTGTATCAGCCAATATTGTTGCCTTCTTTAAGTGACAAGCGTTTTTCAAGATATAAACCGCAATATCTCTATCTTGTGGTCTTCCTAAGTATCCCGACCAGTTGAAAATTTGTAGACTCGACAACAAACATTCAGGAACAGAACTCGGTTTATTCCAGCAAACAATACCATAACGCCTATTAAACCTATGATCCTAAGACCACGCAGAAGAATTAGATTAAAACTGTATTAGGCATCAGACAAATAAAAGAGTAGTTTATCAAAGAAACTTACTTTCCCCACAGAGATGTTCAATACTCGTAATTTAGGAGAATCCTTGAGCAACTTGCCTAGGAGATTCGACGAATTTTTTTTGCACACACATAGGTTCAGATGTTAAAGGTGTTTGAAAACAAAACCATCACCATACACACCCTATTAAAAATTATTAACAGAGGATTCGACAAATAAGATCGACAATTTGTAGATAAATGGAGACAAATTACCTCTGAACATATTGTTAGACGCTTGACAGATATGACTGATCCAATAGCACTGTTAAGAATCTTGAGCTTAGAGGATTCAACTCTGACATATGCTTCCTTCAGCTTAGGCATATTCTTAATCAAAGAGTAGTGTTTCCGATGATTCAAGTTCACAAGTTTCAAAAACTTTAAAGAAGGAGTATCTATCTCATACCCATCTAAAAACAAATCATAAGGTATTAAAATTGATAAACTCTGCAAAGACGGGACGATTATAGAGAACTCTTTCGTTTTGTCATGCTCATAAAAATCCACCGATAGATCTTCAAGAACAGGACAAATAGATAGAAGCTTTTGAAGTCCATCTACGAATATCAAATCTTTAAGTTCCAAAGTCTTCAGAGAGGGAAAAACCATAGAGGGAATATCTATGAGAGCTATCCTTTTGAGTTTCAAGGTCAGGAGTGATTTGCAGGTAAACAAGCTACTCGGTAATATGTTTTCAGTCCTGGAATAATAAAAAATATCCAGCTCACGGACATGGCGAGAAACTGCGATTTCAATCCACCGTCTGATATCTTCAGGTTTAATAGCTGCGCTATACAAATCAAGACGCAAGCTATCTATGACGGGAGCTCTATGTAACGGTAACTTCCTGTTGATAAAATCCCCAAGTCCAGGCCTTTTGTCCCACATAGAAAAGAACTCGAGATTAGGCAACCAGCCAACCACATCCAAAGAAACTCCCATCGCTTAGACAAAACGCAAGTGGATACAGCAACTTTTGTTGGAAGAAACGATAATATCTTCACGAGCAAGTCATCATGCAATCCACTGATTTTTTCCATGATACTGTTACTGAAAAAGAAAAAAACACCAAGACTCAATAAGCTTTCTCTAAGCCTAGCAAACGAATTAGTAACAAGAGAAAACACAAAACACAACATAGGAACGTGACAACCCTAGAAAGAAAAACCTGATAATTCAAGTGGGCCTGAGCGTGGGCCTGGCTTCATGTGATATTTTTCTTTACTTTAAAAGAGTTGGCGTTTTACTATAAGATTGTTGTAAACCTGATGGAAAAAAAAAAGATTGTTGTAATCTTACAGTGAAGCTAGAAAACAAAGAGTTCGACGAGCGAATTGATTCAAGGCTAGGGAACAACTTCATCTCAGAAGAGATGTTACATTAGAATGGTAGAAGCTGCGTCATGCAAAAAGACCAAATCTGAACCAGATGGTGAGAGCTTTAATTGGATACATTTGAAGAAGCTACGGACATAACAAACGGGAAGAGACCAGAACAGAGCCAAAGTGTTCAACTCGAGACAGCAATCTTCTCAGATAAGGATGTTTCAGAGAATGGCTTTTGGGAGTCATCAAGATTATAGTTCTGACTTCTTTGCTACTTTCTTCTTTCCCTTACATCTTAATTAAACATGTCTTCTTGTATATTTGTTTGCATGTAGATAATTTTGGTAGCCTTTTGAAGAAAAAGAATTAGAGATAATTTTGATAGATTGGGTCATCCAAAAATTGTTTGAGTTTAATGATCTAAGATTTGATGAACAAGCTTGGAGAGTTGGAGGGACTGATTCGGGAACCAGTAAGAGAGAAAAGGAAAAAAAAAAGGCAACAGAGGTAGTGAAGACAGTGGGAGATGCTTGGAAACGTCGTAACTCTAATGATATAATAAGATTATGTTTGCTTGTGATCATCAACGCTTACATAAAACCAGTTCATGTGTTGCAAAACTTGAGTTAGAAATTAAAGGGTAAACTAGAATTCTTTTTTTCCTTTAAAAAAATAAAATAAATTAGAATCCTATTATACAATTGAAAACATCATATGATTAAGGCTCAACATGACCCAAGTCGTCAGGGAATACGAGTTGGCATGTGCTTGAAGCTCGTGGAGAAAGTGCCAACTCCTTGATCATTTGAAGGTTTGGAACATAATGTTCCTCTGTATCAGCCAAGATTGTTGCCGTCTTTAAGTGACGAGCGTTTTTCAAGATATAAACCGCGATATCTCTATCTTGTGGTCTTCCTAAGTATCCCGACCAGTTGAAAAATTGTAGACTCAACAACAAGCATTCAGGAACAGAACTCGGTTGATTCCAGCAAACAATACCATTACGCTTATCATCCCCATGATCCTAAGAACAAGCAGAAAAATTAGATTAAAATCGTATTAGGCATCAGAAAAACAAGAAATTATTTATCAACGAAACTTACTTTCTTTACAAAGATGTCTAATACTCGTAAGTTAGGAGAACCTTTGAGCAATTGGACAAGGAGATTCCACGAATCCAAATTACACAGACATAAGTTGAGATGTTCAAGCTTCTTGAAAACACAACCATCACCATACACAACCTGCCCACAATATTAAGATGAGTAACAAAGGATTCTATAAATGAGATTAACAACTTGAAAATGAAAACTAATTACCTCAAAAGAACATATTGTGAGACGCTTGACAGATGTGATTGATCCAATAACACTCTTGGGATTAAGGGATACAACATCGATATATGCTTCCTTCAGCTTAGGCATATTCTTAATCAAAGAGTAGTGTTCCCGATGATTCAAGTTCACAAGTTTCAAATACTTTAACGAAGGAGTATCTATCTCATAACTATGTAAATACTCTTTATTACTACGTAAAAAGAGTGATAAACTCTGCAAAGAAGGGATGCTTATAGTGAACTCTTTCATATTTTTAGTATCATAGAGAAACACCGATAGGTCTTGGAGAACAGGACAAATAGATAGAAGCTGTTGAATGGATTCTTCATCTATGAATTGCACACTTTCAAGTTGCAAAGTTTTGAGAGAGGGGAGACAAACCATAGAGGGAACATCTATTAGAGCCACCCATTTGAGTTTCAAGGTCACTAGCGATTTGCAAGTAAACAAGCTACTTGGAAAGAGGTTTTCATTCTCGGAGTCATAATAATCAATTTCCAGCTCACGTACATAGCTAGAAACTGCGATTTCAATCCACCGTTTGATATCTTCAGGTTTAACTTGTGTATTGAAAGTTATGTGGAGACGCAATCTTTCTAGGACGGGAGCTCTAAGTAATGGCAGCTTCTTGTCGATAAAATATCGCGAAGTTCAGGCTTTGGAGAAATGAACTCTAGTCTAGGCAACCACATCCAAAGAAACTCCCACCGCTTAGACAAAATGCTAGTGGATACAGCAACTTCTGTTGGAAGAAACGATAATATCTTAAGCAGCAAGTCATCGGGCAATCCAGTGATTTTGTCCATATCTTACAAATTCAGGTTCCTGTTACTGAAAAAGAAAAATAAAAGACACAAGAAAACAACACCATAAGACTCAAATTATTTGTATAAAGCCAAGTAAATGAATTAGTGATTAGAGAAAACACAGCCACACATAGGAACGAGATAAAACCCTAGAAAAGAAAACCTCCAGTTTAATTAAAGATATCGATTGTTAATGGAATGACAAAGCTTCGTCCTTCTCTGCGACGTTACCAACAAACCCTTCAGGTTTCACTATAATTTGATGATTAGCGAATGGTTTAATGCCCCATAAACCCTAATGATGAATTAAAACCTTTTATTGGCCTGGGCGTGGACTGGTTGATTGGTTGATTCGTTGTGTTTCAATTTCGATTGTGTAGCTATAGATGCATTATTATTTATACTAGGGAGGAGACCCGCGCAACGCGCGGGGTTATTTGCTTAGAAGCTTTTAGTTTCTGTATCAATGTATGTTTTACTTTTGTTGAAATCCTAATGTTTTAAGTTTTACGAACTTATGATCAATTATAAATAAAGATAAAGCATTTGTTTCTCAGTTTTGTTATTATAAAGTTGTATTCCTACTTATAGTTTATAATTGTTATTGAAAAAATATTTTATTTCTTTTGTCTAGAAAATAAAATAAAATGACATTAATTAAATGACATAAATACAAGTTATTTCGTTTGGCACATTTCTGGGTTTGTTAGTTTCATGTTACATTGAATTATCTGCCAAAATTTGGGTATAAGAAAGTAATAATCTTTGAAACAACTCAGCTCCGTCTTCATTTGCTTCTTTTGGGTGTTCAATACCAAACAACTTTTAAACTCCTTGCATAAATGGGACCATCACCAGCACCACAATAGGGCAGCTTCAGACTCCAGAGTTTCGATGGGACTCTGCAGCTTTCAATCGCTACTTTCTATTTTGATCGAAGTTAATATATTCATACATGTTTTTTTTTTTTTTTTTTTTGAACTTAGTTTCATAGTCTTGTAGTAGTTTTCATAGTCTATGTAATAAATGGAATCAATTTCTTTCTTAGCACCCTTTGGGTGTTCAATAGCAACAGCTTTTAAACTCCTTGCATCAAGAAGAAATTCGCCAGTGAAATATTTTAATACCTCACAACGCCAGTGACAGTCTCAGAAATGCATTTTGGGCATCGTAAGGTTGTTCCATATTTGTCTAATTTGCGGCTGCACATAGCACATGAAACATATGACCAACCACTTTTTTGTAGGACATCAGGAACTTTGGCGGTGCAAATGAAATCAGCTTCCTGTGTCTGTTCCATGATTTTAAAATGAATTTCAGAGTCACATTACATATTTAAATATGTGTAGTTCATAGTAAAAATAACATGTTCATTAGAGTTTGATATGAACTTGTAAAGTTCAGCAATGCAAAGCATTTCTTTTTTTTATTCCTTCGGATGTGTCTGCTTTTGCAAATGCTTGGTAGCTTCTATTCCCATCCTCCATAAGAAACAACTCGGTTAGATTTTGATAACCTCAATGGTACTTTGAAATTATTAGTTGTAATAAGCATGACCTTTTTGTAAATTGGTTGATTGCCTCAATGGAAAGGTCGAAATAAAACCGGGTTGCTGGAGTGGAGTTCAAATACAAATTACCTAACAAAGATTTAGTTAAACCAGGAAAAAAAATCAGCTTTGTTTATGATTTTCCACTAATATATATAACGTAGGACTTCATTCTTACCTCCAAACAGCTTTGGATTTATTGTAGTTACCAACATGACAGAATTTATCGTGTCTCCAGAAGTGAGATAAGCTTGAAAGGTTGCAGCTGCGTCATCCCATAATGATAGGTACCCAATGGTAGACCTGTTAGTGGAAAAATGTAAAATATTAGTCATGTAATAATTGTTTCCAGCTTTTTAATATGTTAAGAGGTTTAGAATGCATACGAATCCAACATGAATCGGACAACCAGACATTGTGTGGATGTTGGGTCAACCAGGTTTGATCTTTGGACAAATCTTATTTGACCCACCACATTTATCAAATAAAAATATATTGTAATATAATGAGGTTCCATAATTATTACTCATGAGTATTTGTTCATATTATACCTGGTAGTTCAAGATTAATGTTTGCAAGAGCTTGGAGATGATCTCCTTTGCGAAGCATAAATTTTTCTCTTTCTATTGTAGCTCCAACGTGATTCACTTCAACAATTGTTGTTGAAGGTAGGAAACGGATGACAAATGGGTTGTCAGTAATTTTGTAGAGGTTTGTGCACCTTCCCACTTCAAACCCTCCAACACAAAAGATTCGCCCTTCTTGTAAAACATTGCGGAATTGGCTGGCACGAACAGCTGGGATAAAACAGTGGATTAGTGAACACTGCAAAAAAAATGTGTAAATGTTTATATATATATATATATATTAAAATTGAAAGGATATTCTTAAACGCAACCTTCTCATCGAGAATATATAAATCATGCATTTGACTATCATTTCACTTTAAGATCACCACTCATAAGTAGAGATGAGACTATTCAAACGGCTAAAGAAACCAAACAACTAAAACTAAGTTTTTGCAAAATCAATCCCAGACATGTGATAGTTGTAAAATGGATTAAGTTATGGAACAACACTAACACTAAACAATTACATATAAGAAAAATAAAAGGCACGACAAATTAAGTAACCATTTTTTAGACCAAAATAACTACTAAAATTGAAATTTAGAAGGATATATTTATATGTTACCTTCTCGTCGAGCAAGAGGACGACTATGCCCATGAATTCACCGTTTTTTTAATATTACGGGCATCCCAAAATCGTAAGAGCCGGCCAACAACGTCTTGAGAAGATCGGCCAAGACGTAAATCATCAAAAGTTGAGTAATCAGTTTGAGCAGGAATTGCAACAACATCAACCTCAGCCATATTGAATTTGAAAGGTTTGAAGAGTTTGAAAGGTATGATTAGTTTTGGGAATTGTTAGGTTACAATGTCAATGAGTTTTATAGTGAGATGCTGAAGTGAAGAGAGAACGATAATAAATACCATCTATTAATTTATACATTTGGTGGTTATAAGAACATCTGTAACGTATACATTCGAAAAGTCAGTGAATGATACTCCTTTGATTTACTTTAAAATTCTCGTTTTCGATTTGGGGATACGAAGCAATGGAAGCGAGAGCAAAAAAATTGTCAATTGATGGATGAATGAAGTGATGCATTTAAGTACCTTATTCATGGGATTCCAGATGAGCAAATGTCTCCAGCCATGAATGAAGCAACGACGGTTCCGATGAACTGCAGAGGAGATGACGTTTCCGATGAATTGCAGAGGAGACAACAGAACATCTAGACGTTATAGGTCTACATGTTATGTGATAGGCCTAAATGTCAAGTCCAAAAGTTCATATTAGAGCTAAAGATTGTGGGTTTGGGCCAGACTTGGCCTTCCAACAAAATACAACATTGAAAAACGTTTCTCTTCAAGAAGTTTTTTTTTTTCTTTTATTGGTCAAAGAAGCTTCATATGTCAAATATAACATATTCGATAAATTAGTGATCGTGTGTTGTTGAAAGATTGGACCTCTTTTTAAACGTGTTTTTTAAATAAAATCAATTGAAGAAGAAGATTTTTTTTTTTTTCACACTTTTAATTATTAAAACAATTATTATTTCAATATTCTTCATTTAATGTGGGCTCCACATAAAGTATGACATGGCTGCTGATGTGTATAGGCTAGATGGAGAGAGGATTGCCTCATTATATATATAGACTAGATTATGTACCCGCGCGTTGCGCGGGATTTTTATTTATTTTTTTTATCAATGCGAATCTTTGAGTATAAATCTAATCATTTGAATTTAATATTTTTTACTTTATTCATGTGCATTATCTTTCCAATATAGTAAAAAAAAATTCACACGTTTCATTACAATTTCTTTCGTTATCTTTTAGGATTCAGTCGTTGTTTCCCGATATTTACTCTCTTTTCGCCTTATATTGACTCATATATAATATACTCGATTGTGAATTAGTTCTCAAGATATATCGTATATCATTTCTCCTTCCTATCTTTGAATACTCAATTCTTTTTTTATAAGTTGCATAATCTTTTTATTAAAGTGAACATCAGAAAATTTTATGAAATGTTTTGTCATAAGGTTTTATTGACCATGTTTTGGTGGATGTAAAATTCTTTTGTATACAACAAATCTCATATATAAACTCATTGCTATTCACAAACATCGGATTTTAACGTCAAGTTTTTCATTTATCTTGACTGTTTGAAAGATATAAAATTCTCTTTTCTCATACATAATTTGACGTATATTATGATTCTAGATAGTATTCTTAGTGTTGATTTTTTCTAAAATATGTAAATTACGAAATCATAAGTTATTCTATTTTTTTTTTTTTTTGTCGTCTTAATATTGAAACAAATAAAGAGTTTGCTAGAAACAGAGTAAAACAAAAACAGGGAAACTGAAATAACAAAACAAAGTAAGAGTAAATCAACCACAATCATTGTCTACCTCGCCGTTCGTCCTCAATCCGGTTATTCTAATTTTAAAATACGTTTATTTAAAAAAAAAAAACAAAATCATTCTTCTTTCTAATTAAAAAACTCTTCAATATACCATTAATATTCTAATTTCCAAATAGCATTCTCAAATATTATTATTACACAATTTTATTATTCGATTAGATTATTATTACACAGTTTTATTAAACTCTTCAATATACCATTCCTAAAACATAGGTCTTTGTTTTATTTCAAATCACCTTAATTTTTTTTCATTCTATGTTAATTTCCTAAACACTGATTACTATTTAGTTTTTCTTCTTAGGTATTTATTTTTTATATAAAACCCTCCATGTTTTAATTAAGAAAACATTAATAATATAGACAAATTTCTTAATTTAACTATTTATATTATATTATAATTATAAACAATAATATGTACTCAATCCTTCTTATTTTTTAACCGGTATAAGGAATTGATACTTTAACCTTAACAAATATATTCTCAAATTTTAATTTTTTTTTTTAGAAATAAATTACTTTTTTTATTAAGTAAGAACCTTTAAATTTGGTATTTATTAACTCTTATTTTCTTTATTGTACTAAATAATTGTAATTCTTAAAAGTGATTGTTGTTCCATTAAAATATATGATAAGTTTCCGTTTTCTTATCACTAACTATTTTAAAATAATTACGCATTATATGTTAAGATATAATTATCTTATTTTATATTTCTCCAATCTCAATTCAAAAGTTTCATGTTTAAATATGAGTAAGATATAATTATTCATTATCTGTTTTATATTGGTTTTTCCGTTTTTTCATATTTATTCGCTTTAAAATTTTTTTTACATGGAGGGTAATACTATAACGTATGTGACTTACTTCATTTTAATATGTTTTCTGAATGGAGAGAGAACTCTC